AATTCAATATAGGGGAAATTACAGCACAGGCAAAGGGAACTAAAGGTAGGGATTGGAGTTGCAGTTTTTGCACAGATCCCAACATTTCTGTAGGTGACAGAACGGGGTAGTCTTCATGTTGACATTTAATCTCATAGGCAACTTTGTTCTCAGATTTAGTGTTAGAGATATACAGAAAGGTGGTCCTGGGGGCTTTCAATAGATATGTTAAGAGCAGATTAGAATTTGCCACCACCATGACAACTGTGGTCTGTCCTCATATGTCATTGGGCTATCATGCATGTGTATTCTAAATGAATTTTTCTCTAGAGAGATTTTATATTTATTCCCTTATTGTAGCCAGACTTGTTGTACTTAACTTTTCCCACACTGAGTGAGGGGGCTTGAATTAACTCTTAAAGGCCCTAAGAGATTTTTTGGCTGGAGACAGAAAGCTCTAGTTGCTTTCTGGAATGGAGGGATAATTTGTTGACTGACATGAGATCTCCCAAGTAACTCTCATGCTAAGCATAGCCAGTATGGCTTTTTGGTATTTACTTGACATGGGGGAGTAAAGTTGGAGGACTGAACACAATTGATTGTTATCAGGCTTTCTCTATGGCAGTAACCAAGGAAAATAAATAATTATTTTCCTACAAAAGAGACTTCTTGTAGTCTGGCCAAAAAGACACGTAGTAAAATACTTAATGATATATTCACAAGATACTTTGAGAGTAAATTCACTCACTCACATTCATCATGACTTGTACTTTGAAATTAATGTGCTATTATCAGTAAAATTGTGCAGAGCATCTTTTGGTCCAGTTTTGATGAATGATATTCAGTTGTTGAAGAGTCAAGACATGAACAAGGTGCATAGCAGAGTTTGGCCAATCATTTCTATACTTAACCATAGTCCTTCATGACTTATTAAATCTAATAAGGAATGTCCAGCTAATAAGGAATGTCACTGTCTGAGAGGGGGAATGGCTCCAGCTTCTATAAAAAGAATAATCATCTAATTACTTCTGAAGAAACTTAGCCTAGACCTGGAAGATATCAGTAAATAAAGACTGGTGGCAGATATGTTCTTTTTGGATAAGTTGCCTGAGAGAAGTGACTATCCAATTTAAGTCATTCTTATATGAACATGGTTTCGTAGATTCATTTCAGCAGGACTTGAAATGGACTTCATTCTGACGAGAAATAAGATAGGTTGATGGATGGGTCATCCACCTGGCTGAATATTCAATTCATGCCAAAGGCTACTCCAGTGGATCTAGTTTGAAATCTAGAGGTGCATATTGACCCCACAGTGTCACAAAAGGCTCTGCATTTCAAACATATTTTTGGCTGATAGATCTGTTGCAACCACATTAGGGCTGTGTAGTACTTCAGATTTAAAGGCAAACATATGCTTTGTAGCATGTTTGGATGCATGTGTATCACCTGCCTGCAATTCTTTAAATAAAATGTGTCTTTTCCTGGGATTCTGCTGCTGAAGGTAGAAAGATGCAGTTGCTTTACGGAATTGCATGCAAGTGCTACGTGCTTGCCCTGTATCGTCCAAAGTGCCTTTTCACCCTCTGCACTGAAACACTGAACAGTCCTAAACCATACCGGAAGGAAATTCCTAGAGACTGGCCCAAGTCCATTCCATAAATTCCATGGCTAAGTGGACAGGTGAGACTAGCTCTTTCTGGATCAATTTTCATGCTACTATATGCCCATTTTTCTATATTTCCCACCCCCTGCAAATATCAGCAAGATAAGAAAGTCAGTAATGTTTGAAAACCATTAAAATTCTGAGATTGTGCAAACTCTGCAGTATATCATGATAAAAAGATAAGAAATAAGCAGTTCTGAGAAATTACAGATGCAGCAGATACATACAACAGGCCTAAAATATATTGATTATAGTCTTTTCTCACCATACAAATGTACCCAAAGTCATTAATGAATGCTGTTGTATTGATATTCACATAGTAATAACATATATCATTATTAAATTCTACATATTTATATTGTCTCAAATTTTGAATTTTTAAAAAGGGAAATAGAAACTGACACAATTTTGTACCGATGGATCTTTCCCCCCGGGGGGGGGGGGAGGACAATAGCCAGTAATAATATTTCTAC